TTATTAGAATATCACATGACTTTTTATAATTAAAGAACGAAATGAATAACATACTTTATGAAAAAAATAAATGTCAAAATTAAATAAAAAAATCTTTAAATACCAAAGTGATAATGATGTAAATTTTATAAGACTAAAATACTATATAAATCTTTTAACTTTTATTTTTAAAATGAAGAATAATTTAATACATTGTAAATGAAAAAAAATCAAGCAACAGTAGAATTATGACAAATGCCCTAATAAATTTAAGAACTACAATGGTTATTAGTAACATCATATTTATAGGTAATTTATTTTCTTTTTCTATAAAACTCTTTAAGTTTATTTTCTCTAAAATTTTATAAAATTTAAATTAAGCGGGCTATTGCGGGCTTCGCGAGCTACCTGCGGTTATACCCATTAAACTCGCGAGTTTAACGGTCCGGGCTAAAAAAACCCGCAATTTAAATGAGCTTCAGTTTTTTATGTTCAAAACCCGCACGGGCCACGGGTTAAACGGGTAGCCCGCGGGCCTTAGCCCATATACCCACTTCTACCTTGTATATTGATATCGATAATCAGATTTTTTTTCGTTAATGCTCCAAATATTATCCGAAATGATTTCAATAATTAAAGGATGATTATTAATTTTAGAAGTCTTAGATTCGAGCAAGACGTCTGTAACGATGTTTGAACATTCATTGTCAAATTATTAAGATGTTAAAACAAAATCATAATAAATATGAAAATAGCCATGATCTAATCATGTTAAATCATCAAGAATAAAAATAAATATTAGATGCGAAAGTGTACTTAAATTAATTGATATGTTGTCAAATTATTAAGATGTTAAAACAAAATCATAATAAATATGAAAATAGCCATGATCTAATCATATCAAATCATCAAGAATAAAAATAAATATTAGATGCGAAAGTGTACTTAAATTAATTGATATGTTGAAATCCTTGAATCTCTCCCTGAATTATAAACTTTCTTACGAGATAAGAGTAAATACGAGATTGTCTATTTTTTGGGATCATAACCCCTTCGTATAGTTGATTAAGAATCATTTATTGTTTGTTGCCCCTCATCAAATTATAAATATAACTTTAATATTATCTACACTTTTATTTCCATGACATTTCTAATACCTTATGACTTTATAATATTATTGGTCATTTAATTTAAGTCATATTTTATGATAACGAGATATATTATAAATATGTGACCATAATTATGGATTTTAATTCAACAATCTCCCACTTGAGCAACATATATTTCCTAATAAATATATAACCTTATGAGCTTAAAATTTGTTATCATACAATATGTATTCTATAAAAATCTCGTCCATCAACTATATCTAAATAGAATCATAGCGGTCTTTGTCATATCAATCATGACTATACCTATTAATGGTCACATATAGAAACATAATCAAATAACAGATCGATTACGGTGCATAGCATGTAAATTACATGCAATGTGAACCACACATGACTATTTCTAACTTATTCTCTTTAAAAATTAGTGAGATTAGATTTTACCAAAATCAGAGTGTGGATAAATTAAAACAAACATTATTTTTGCAAAAAAATAACTTTAAAATAAATATACTTAAACTGAAGTAACTGAAGTTGTGTTTATAATAAATGAGCATTAAAGTTACAAACTCCCGCTAAAACTAAATATTTTTAAATAACATTACACCCACATGCGTAGTGTGCTCATGAAGGACCTTAAGTGATAGTTCTTTAGTAAGCGCACAGTTATAAGTTTGCACCAACATGCTCTATAAACAAATAATCACTCTGAATTTTCTTTAACAATCAGAAACATAATGTCTATGTGTTTAGACTTAAGATATTTCTGTTATATATGAGAAAAAAAGACTGCAACTTTGTTGTCACAAAATAACTCAAGTGATATTTCTTATCAATCCATAATTAGTAGTTCATGTGACAAAATTCTACATCAATATTTCAATAAATCAGAGTACATAAACCTAATGATATCTTACTTACTAGACCTCCGATATGTGAACATGTAACATTTTTATTCTTAAATGTATTGTATGAATCAGTTGGCTGCTATCCAACGACCCATACCCAAAATGCTTAAATATATGTTTAATATCATAAAACGATACGCTATATTCAAATGCGTATAAACCTGAATATTCATTAAACTTCTCATTTTCTTTTGAACCTTTATTTCCTTAGTTTCAAAATCATTTCTAATGCACTGATCAAGACTAAACTTGTTTCCTTTAGCAATAAGAGGTATCGTTTGGTTTACTCCTATTGAACTTATAGTATATACAATTGTCAATCAAATATATCTCAAAACCAAACGAGATAATCACTTGATGGAATTTGTTATACAACTAACGAGAGTCATACTTAAACTCATAAATGGATTTCCCTAATTTACATATCGTTAATTTTGTATCATAAGACAATTTTTAATTGCACTGTATAAAATATATCATCAATGTCACATTGAGGAACACAAATTTGAAATCCAACTTATGTAACTCAAGATTAAATATGAGTAACAAGTATCATGATTATCCTAAAAGAGTCTTTCAATGAAATCAAATAGAAAATCTCTATAACAATTTGTTTTTCTAATATATTGGTTATATATTTTTATATTAATATAACAAGATACATTTAACAAAGGAGATAGAGGTTAGTAGAGTATTAATTGCACCCCAGAAACAAAGGTCAAAGCCCGTTGAATGTTACATGCTAGTTATGAATATCATATAATATAATCATTTGTATTTTATATCTAAACAGCCACGTGTATTGGGTTTCATATCTGGTAGATGAACTTTGTTTAAAAGATATTAAGGTGCTTTCCAGTTGAACTAACCGTTCACGTATCGTTCCTAAATTCATCATTTATGATATATGAATTATTTGGTGATGAAATATTACCTTTATTTCGGATAATAGTACGGGAAAATATAAAAATATTTAATACAAATAAATCTAAGCCAATTCATAAACAATTTTATTTTTAATATATAATTATATTTTAATCATGAAAACATATATATATTTTTTATTTTACCTTAATTTCGATCCCATAATTACCATAATTATGTGGGATGTGAGTTATATTCTAACATAAATGTTGATGGTTACCGATTTTGCAGCTGAGGTGTGTGCTGAAACAAACCGATGCTGAGATAGAGGATGCCAAGCATGGGTACAGTGGATTACATGCATCTAAATATATAAATTGGCACACGAGCGCATGTATGCATATATCTTTTATACTTTGACATAAAACTTTTAGTTTTATATATTTTTAAAATTATTAGATCAGTAGAAATAAATAATTAATTTTTTTAAGAAATATTTTCTTAGTTTCAATTTTAATCTTATTCCTTTATATCTACTCATCCAATAATTTTAAAAATAGTAAAATTAAAAAAATTTATATAGTATGAACAAATCATGTCTACATGTCATTATGTCTTTTCTATTTTTTTAATTTTAGTTATTCGAGTCGAGTTATTCGAGTAAACTCAAATTATCAATTTGGTTTTCGAGCTCGAGTCAAGTTGATATTTGAAAATTTCGAGTTATTCAAAAAATTAAAAATTTGACTATGTATTTTGATAGTTTTATGATTTAGTCACTGATTTTATTATTTCTTCAATTTCTCCTTCATTTAAAGTCTATTTTTAACCAAATTTGAACCATATGCTCCTAAACCATCGTAGAATACATATTTACTTTTCAATTCCTTTTTTCGATAACAAGTTTTCTATTTTTCAATTTAGCCCCTTAATATTTCATAATTTTCTTATTTTTTTCAATCCATCCTTTATTTTAAGTCTATTTTTCCAAATTTAAGCACATTCTCATATACCATTATAGAATACCTATGCAACTTCAATTCTTATTTTCTTACTAAAATGTACTCTCTCTTTTTATTTAGAACCTTAACATTGTATTTTACTCAATTTGAAAATGTACTCTCTCTTTTTATTTAGAACCTTAACATTGTATTTTACTCAATTTGGTCTTTTGACTATAATTTTTTGCAAATTATTTCTTCCTATCAATTCCTTGACTCTTTTATACTCTCAACAATATTTTTACCCACAAAATAAAGAAAAATATAATATATGAATAGAGAAAGTCAAAAAATTGGAATCAATCTTTACCATAATACTATAAATAATTATAATAAAATTAGCATAGAAACTCGAATTAAAAATTTTTGAAGTTGAATTCAAATTATAAAATACGATTTATCAACTCGAATAACTCAAATTTTTTTTACTCGACTTGATCACCGGCCCTAATATTAATGGAAAAATACAAAAAAATTCAAAAACTAAAACACCTTTGCAAATTTGAGTGAGGGCGAAAGTATTTTAGTTTATTAAAATTTTACCATTCAATTACAACATACTTGGTTGGCCCCCTCAACTAATAACCAACTAATATGCATAACAACGAGTTGATTCAAGTGATAAATAATTTGATATCGCTTAAACAAATTGAGTTAGATTCTTTGTGTATGTAAAAAATTCATGTCGTGAGATTTACTCACCAAAATTAATGTGCAACCCGAGTTGGTTCTGATTAGTCATAGTAAAACCCTGAAACCGAAATAATAACAAAAAAAAAACAGGCATATTAAAATTAATTCGTTTCCTTAATGCAGAAGAAGTATAAATTAATAAAATTCTGCTTTTCTGATTCCCTAATTTCTTACTATAGGTATTCTTCTTAGTTCTTACGTATTAAAATTATGCTAATTTGTTGCTATTTTATGTTTTAATGACAGAAGCGAAAAATTTTGGTAAACATTGAAATACAAAACAATTCATTTACTTTTAGAAAATATCGTGTCAAAAATTTTTGCAGCGCTTTTGAAATGCAGTTTGAACTTAATATGAGTGGCCTATAAATAGAGATAGAGAATGCCTTAGTTTAAGCATCTCTACTTGTTCAATTACTTTGTGTTTGATAAGAAAGAAATCAGTTATGGTTTCCATTCCCAAGAGTTTCCTTCTCCTTGCTCTTTTATCTGCCGTTGTTCTTCTCATTGCTTCGGAAGTGGCAGCCCAAATGGACAACGGTCAGCAACTACCATGCCTTCTAGTTATTTATATAAGCTCTCAATCGTATTGCGTGAAGTTGAAATATACATAATATATATAATATTATGGGTACTGTTTTTGCAGGTGAGGTGGCTACTGAAACAACCGACGCTGAGCTTGGAGATGACAAGAAAACCGGTTATGGTGGTGGTTCCAGTGGATACGGTGGTGGTTCCAGTGGTAAACGTGGAGGATACGGTGGTGGCCGTGGAAGTTACGGTGGTGGACATGGAAGTTACGGTGGTGGACGTGGAAGTTATGGTGGTGGACGTGGAAGCTACGGAGGTGGACGTGGAAGTTACGGGGGTGGAGAGCAGAACGAGGCTTTTGTGATGAACAACGAAGATTGAGTGAAGGTGCTCCTCTTATGCTGCGGCTGAGGTGGCTCATACCCATCCTCACTGCTAATGTAGCCTTTACAAATGGCAAGTATCTAAGACAAAATGCTCCTCTCATGGAATTATTTACGTGGGAGCCTCACTGTCAGCTCAATATCAACGCATTGCTTAAACCTAACAAACCGACTAAGTGCACCTCATCACCATCATCATCAACTCAAGCCTTAAATAACCTCATCTACATCTTATGGAAAAAATGGTGACGAAGAACATAGTTGGAGTGGGGTTTCATCGGACGGTCAATTATGGTGGATCAAAAGCTTTATGTATTCTTTAAGAAATCTAAATAGACAGAGAGGAAGAAGAGAAAAAGAGAAGTGTTTTGGTGCCAGCTACTTCATGAGTCGGTGGAAGTAACATCATTGAACGTCGACTAGGAAGCGAAGAACAGTAGAAACTTTGAGAGGGAACTGAAATAAAGGATAAAATAGTGAGAGTTATTTTTAAGCATAATGGTAAAACAAATCCTTAAACTTTATCACTATTTCAAAATGTGACTTTAAAGTATTTTTTTGATAATTTAAACTATGATCATTTATTTTATTTTCAAACAATTTTTTTACATCAAATAAATCCTTTTTAGATTATCAATTAAAGGTGATCATTTTGATAATATGACATGAAGAAATTATTTTTTGGACACTTCCCGCCATGTCATCAATGGTAGGAGTGTTCATAATTCGGTTAAAACCGAACTAACCGAAAATTCGATCTGTTAATTTTGGGTTTAGTCGATTAACGGTTAATGATTTTTTTAAACTTTGGTTTCGGTTAATTAACCGAATTAACTGAAATTATTAAATATTTAATATATTTGTTTGTTCTGAACCAAATTATTGAATCTTCATTGGATCCATGGCATAAAAATGTTTATACACAGCTTTGACATACGTTGTTAGAGAAGAAAAGAAAATTAAGAAAAATAATCTCTAGATTTAATTTTAATTGTGGTATGCATTAAATGAAAAAAGTTGGTTCGAAAAATAAAATCTTAGTGTATAAATGACTTTAAAAAAAGTGACACGAATTCTTTTAATTGGTTGAGATTACGTGTGATGTGATAAATATGATCTATGAAATAATTTCCTATGAGATGATAACATTAAGTGGCGTAATTGAAAAAACAAACAAATGTTAAGGGTTTTGGTTAATGGATCAATTATGGGTTCCATTCCCAAGAGTTTCCTTCTCCTTCCTCTTCTATCTGCTGTTGTTCTTCTCATTGCTTCGGAAGTGGCCGCTCGAGACCTTGCTCAAACTACCAACGAAATGGAAAACGGTCTGCAACTATCATGGTTTCTTATTTGTCTAAGCTCTCAATCGTATTCGTATTGCATGCAGTTGAAATATATAATATGGGATCGAGAGGAACATTTATATTCTATTTATTTCTAACATAAATGGCGTATCATGGATATTGGTTTTGCAGGTGAGGTGGCTACTGAAACAACCGACGATGAGCTTGGAGATGACAAGAGCTACAGTTATGGTGGAGGATACGGTGGACGTGGTAAACATGGAGGATACAGTGGACATTCCGGTGGTAAACATGGAGGATACGGTGGACGTTCCGGTGGTAAACATGGAGGATACGGCGGATATGAAAGTTCAGGTGGTAAACATGGAGGATACAGTGGACATGGTGGAAGTTCCGGTGGTAAACATGGAGGATACGGTGGACATGGAGGGTACGAGGCTGATGTGATAAACAACGAAGATTGAGTGAGGGTGCTCCTCTTATGCTGCTGATGTAGCCTTTGCAAATGGCACGTATCTAAAATAAACTGGCTTAGCATATCCTGAAATAAAATGCCTCCTTCATATAAATTAATAAAACTATGCTTTCCTTTAGTCTTACTTTGCTTGCTATGGGAGTGTTTCTTAATTTATTATCTCGTGGAATTACTTAAATTGGACCCTCTTTATTTATTCATTTTTATAAAAAAAAAAAAACTGGTGTTTCAAAATATTAAATTAATTTATATCGGTTCCTGAACAATTTCAACATTATTTTCAGAATCAAAGATAAATTTAATAATTATTAAGAACCTCAAATGAGGTTTACAATAAAGGATGAGTGTCGTAACCGGTTTTCGTCCGGGCACGATTTTTTTTACTTCGCGGGAAAAGTAATGTGAATAAATGGTTTTTAAAATAATTTGGGAGTCGCCATCGGCCTTTTGGGTCAGGTAGGTCGAATACCTAAAAATCATCTTTTAAAAGAGTTTTTAAGAAAACATCAGTAAAAAGATAAACTGATATGCGTTTAAACCAAAAATTCATTCTTTTTAGAAATAAAAATGGATTCGTAGTCGGTTACGTTTAGGGAAGGATTAACACCCCTACAACGCCCAAAATTTGTACTTTTTTAATTATAAATTGTCTCTATTATTAGAAATTAAAAATTCAAAGATATATTTAATTTATAATCTTTTTTTATTTCAAATTTATGATTTTATGAAAATATATTCATATAAATAAGATATTTATTTATTTAGAAATATCAGAAAAGGGCTTCTAGGTGCTTTAAGACAGCTCTTTTATTTGATAAAAAAATAAATAAAACATTTACTTAATATAGGATTTATAAAAATAGGATATTTAGTAAAAATATCAGAAAACGGACTTCTAGGTATTTTAAGACAATCCTTTCTTAATATAGAAAAATAAATATATATTAAAATATGATTATTAAAAGTAATTTATGAAATATAGGATTTTAATAGAAAACAAACAGAATAAATAAACAAATATTATTATATATATATTTACTTATATAAATAAAAAATAATAATAATGAAATAATAATTAAAGAAATAATAATAATAAAATAATATTGCAAATAATGATTAAAATAAAAGAAAAAAAATAAATAGTATTAAAAATAAATAGTCAAAAATGAAAATTTAATGATTAAAATGTAAAATTATAAAACTAGAGTCCTAATTCGAAATATATAAAAGGTGGGCATTAAAAGTGTAATTTAACCATAATTCATAATACGAGATTAAAATAAAAAATACTAAACTATGAGGGACTAAATTTGATATTTACCTAAATATATATATATATATATATATGCTGATAAGGACTAAATTAAAATAAAATAAAATTAGAAGACTAAATTAAAATAATCAAAAATTGCTTTTAGTGACTAAATTGCAAGGTATACAAACTTGGAGTACTGCGGACGGGGTTTACCCTTTATGAAATTACAGAAATACCCTCCCCAAAATGACGTCATTTGGGGAGGGTTTTAAATACCCAATCGGCCGGCCCTTATGGGCCATTTTTTCATTTCTTTCCTTTCTTTCTTTCTCTGAGAGAGAAAACTCTCTCTGTTCTCTCTAAACTCTCTCCCCGGAGAGAGAGCTGACCAACGGCCGGCAACCGTCTGCCGTCGTAATCCCCACCGCCGGCCACCGCATCCGGTGGCCGGAAAATTTTATTTTTATACCAGAATGTAGATCGGACCGTCCTAATGACGGTTCCGATGTTCCTTTCTCTTAAATAGCTCCCGATCGGAGCAAATCTAGGAAAATACCTTTGGTTTTCGAAGGTTTTTTGTGAGGCTTGGAGGCCGGTAGTGACTCCGATCGAGGTGTTGTCTTCCTCGGTAAGTTTCTCTCGCTCTTTTCTTTTGTTTTGGTGTTTGTGGTTGCTGGTTTGCTTGCCCTCTCTTCGTTTTTCTTCTTTCGTCTTTGTTCTCTGTTGCTGTCTCCTTGCTCTCCGTGGCTGTTGGTTTTTTTTTTTGTCTTGCAGGGAACGGTGGCTTTTATAGCCACCTCGGTGCTCCTCTTCGAACTGGTTAAAGAATGTAAGCCTCGGTGAGTCACCAAAGCTAGGCTGGTGGCTCACCGTAGGGATGGTCGTGGGATGCCATCTGGTGTTCTGGAATTCTCGTTTGGTGTCGTGGCAACGATGGAGCAGCGTGGAGGTTTCTGGCGAGGCGGCGGCTGAACATGGCCCTAGGGTTATGATACCCTAGGGTTTTCTTTGCTGAAGCGGTTGGATAATGATATGGAAACCTTAATATGGTTTTAGGGTTTAGCTTGGGCCAGAATTGGGCTCAGTGATCCATTTGTAATTGGGCCTGTAATATAATAAAATTAATAATAAATAATAATATTAATAATAATAATAATAAATAATAAAAGAAATCAAATATTAAAAAAAACTAATGTCTTCAGTTGTCCCTCTTTGCTTATTCTTGTGTTAACAAGAATAGAGCAAAGACGAAAAGACAATAAGTTTTTTTTCATTTGACTTTATTTGGAAATGTTGAACAAGTTTTTCTTTGGGATTAGTTCTTCTTATTATGAACTTTTCCACTAGGGATGACAATTTATCTCCTTCTGTGATGTAATCTAGCAAAAAGTTGAACAAATTCTCCTCCTTATGAACTTCTTCTTCTTCAGATGAGTTCTTCTCATTATGAACTCCTTCTGGAAATGCTGATGATGATATATCTCCTGCTGTGATAGAGTTATGCAAAAGGTTGAACAAGCTCTTCTCATTATGAACTTCTTCTTCTTCTTCTTCAAATAAATTCTTATTATTATGAACTTTCTCTGGAAAAATTGATGATGATATATCTCCTGCTGTGATATAGTTATGCAAAAGGTTGAACAAGTTATTCTCATTATGAACTTCTTCTTCTTCTTCAGATAAGTTCTTCTTATTATGAACTTTCTCTGGAAAAGTTGATCCATCGAGTGATGAATTCAAACAAAAAGTTGAACAAATTCTTCTCATTATGAATTTCTTCTTCCTTCTTCAGATAAGTTCTTCTCATTATGAACTTTCTCTTGAAATGATGATCCATCGAATGATGAATTTAAGCAAAAAGTTGAACAAGTTCTTCTCATTATGAACTTCTTCTTCCTTCTTCAGATGAGTTCTTCTCATTATGAACTTTACCTGGAAATGTTGATGATGATCTATCTATTTCTATGATAGAGTCATGAAAAAGGTTGAACAAATTATTCTCATTATGAATTTCTTCTTCCTTCAGATGAGTTCTTCTTATTATGAACTCTTCCTGGCAATACTGATCCATCAAATGATGAATTTAAACAAAAGGTTGAACAAGTTCTTCTCATTATGAACTTTTTCTTCCTTCTTCAGATGAGTTCTTCTCATTATGAACTTGACCTGGCAATGCTGATCCATCAAATGATGAATTCAAACAAAAAGTTGAACAAGTTATTCTCATTATGAATTTCTGCTTCCTTCTTCAGATGAGTTCTTCTCATTATGAACTTGACCTGGCAATGCTGATCCATTAAATGATGAATTCAAACAAAAAGTTGAACAAGTTCTTTTCATTATGAACTTCTTCTTCTTCTTCAGATGAGTTCTTCTCATTATGAACTCTTTTGGAAATGTTGATCCATTGAATGATGGATTTAAATCTTTGCTAAAATCTTTGAAATTCCTGTTAAATATTCAACATTGATAAAATGAATGAAAATGCTCCTATTTTGCAAATGTCTAAATATGATGTATGAATATTGATGCAATCTTCGTTTGACTTCAAAATGGTGAACTCGGTTTTCCTCCACTTCATCATTTATTGCCAGGGTCACCTCTGGATATCAGTGTAGCAACTTATGCTATCAAGCTTGCAATTCTGAAGAACCATCTGATCAACTTGTATCTTTATGTCTTCTTTGCTTCATGAAAGTCTTAGAAGAATTGTTTCATTTGTGGAACTCTTGTCGTAGTCAGAACTATGACCTTGATGCCCCATTTTGTCTTTGGTAACATCAGCTTTCTTTGTATGGACTTATGTAGAAATCCGATAAAGCTTTCATCTTTGAAAAGAGAATCTGTCATCTTTAAAAAGGGAATCTATCATCTTTGAAGAGTGTAGATGTAGATATGCCTGACTCAGCAGAGATTAATTAGGAGAGTAGAGTCTGTTCTGATTTGACTCTTGAAACACATCACAAGGAGAATTTATCTCAATTCCTTTCATGTCCCCACATTTAAATGGTTCTTGAACAAGGCAACTTGGATCATATCATGCCGAGATGCTTAACAACAACCTGTCGTTCAACCTTAGTTGGCTCCACTAGTTTCTTGTTGTTAAAATTTCAGCTCTCCTTCTGCGGAAAGAGATCTTCATCATATCTCAACTTATAATCTTGAAGTTGAAGAAGACAAACTTCATCTTGGATCAATAAATGGAAACCATATGATTGCAACATTGGTTCAGCACCATAATCACTGGTTTGTAAAACATTTGACAATACATTCATCTTTTCCTGTGGTTTCTGTCGAGATGTAAAACACTTGACAACACATTCATCCTTTTCTGTGGCTTCTGCTCAGATGTTCGTAAAACATTTGACAACACATTCATCATTTCTTGTGGTTTCTGCTCAGACGTTCGTAAAACATTTGACAACACATTCATCCTTTTCTGTGGTTTCTGCCAAGATTTCTTAATCATTGAAGCTCTTTGCCTAGTATTCAAAGCTTTTGAATGATGTCACAAGACCATTTGAGAGCAAAACTCAGTGGAGATTCAAGTGTGATGTTAGTATGACCAAAAAGTTGGTCAAATTCACAAAATGTACTAGTGTCGAATTGAATAGGAGATACCAACTGATCACATTTTCATCTCGGGCAAAGGCAAATATAATATTGATCACGTTTTCTTCTGTAATGGGCGTTGTAGGAATTAGAAACACACCCACTATAAGAGCCATGTATGG